TGACCGGAAACAAGAAGATATCTCCACACCCGACACAGTTCTAGAATCAGCACGACAAGGCGCATCTTTCTATGCAATAATATCGACAAAAAAAAGACTGCTATAGTTTTGCTGTTCCGGCACCTTACGTACTCATCAAATCATTAATGACTCATCGTGTATGCATATCATGAGAACGTAAATCTACTGTTGGATGCTCTACAAAAACACGTGAAAAGGGAAGTTTGTTCGGATTTGAAAACTTTCGCAAGTGCTTTGGTGTGTGACGAGTCGAATGAAGCATGTATGTTCTCAAATTGCAAAACATGTAGAAAATATTTCGAGACAAAACTTCACGAAAACGTCATCGATTTAATCGTAAAAATCAAATGGCTTCAATGGACCAATAATTATGGCCGGGCAGAGAAGCAAGAATTTGAAGGAACAGTGGAAAACTGTGTTCAGCATTTGTCTGGTTTAATTCAACAATATCTGTTACATGTATTTATCAAGCGCACGCAAAGTTCTCTGTTCGAGAAAGGAAGTTCGACTCAAAGAAAGTACCGATCATCGAAAAGTTGTTCTATAAGTCGACCATGCTGAGAATTTCGCTATGGATTAGCAGGATGCCATTCAGTCGGCTCACAGGAACACAAAAACCGTGTCAATTTTTACAGCGCACGCATGGTGTGGAACGAACAATTACTCGTTTGCGCTGGTTTGCGACAACGTCACACACGATAAATATTGTGTACACGTATGTTTGAATTATGTCATTTTTCAACTGAAGCAGTATTTACCAGATTTGGAAGAGATTGTGTTCTTTAGCGATGGAGCTGCATCACAATTTAAACAACGATATCTATTTCAAAATCTGACAAGAATGATGGCAGAATATGCTTTAAAATTATCTTGGAATTTTTTTGCGACGTCCCACGGAAAAGGTGTCGTGGACGCCATTGGAGGTACCGTGAAGCGAATGGTGTGGCAAGAAATAATGACAAAGAAACACCTATGTCGAACAGCTACCGATTTCGTTGGTATCGCGAACCAAAAAAACAAGCACAATTATTGTCAATGAAATTTCTCAAACTGAGATTGATGCATCGAAATTAAAACTTCAACAGTTATTCGCTAAGACGAAGTAGGTCAAGAACACTCAGAAATTGCATCCAAATGTTATCGAGTGCCGAATGTACGGCGATGCATCATCGAAATGGACTGTTTTTTTCTGATTTATTTTCTATGAAAGTGAATTATCCTATTATCCTTTTTTCTCGAGCAAAACCTTGTTTAAGGATTATTTGAAAAACTGATATAAAAACAGCAGTGACTGCTTGAAATACAAATGAACATCGTTACCTTGATATTCCGCAGCGAGATTTCCAAATGCGAACTAAAATTTTAGAACTAAGAATTTTTTGAAAAAAATCATCTCTGTGCGTCACCTAATATTCTGTCAATCACTCATTCATTTTTGGAGCTATCGATGTTTTCTTTTCAGCAAAAGGCAGCCCCGATTCTTAGCTACAAAAACTCTCACGACTATAATTCATTAACATGAAGCCATTCGTAGGATTTGTCACTTCTTTCGCATCTTCTTCGAAACGAGGGCCTTTTTTCGGCCATAAAAACGAATTAACTAAAGGGTTTGCTTCTGACCGTTAGAATTTTCATAACTCAGGAAAGAGAGGTGGAAAGCTGAACTTTTCAGGGTATCTAGCAGACCTCCAGAGTGACCACTAAAAAACATTTCAGTCTGCTACGACCTTTCTAGGCAGAGTTCTGTATTTTTCTATTTTTGCTAGTTTTCGCTGGGAAAACTAAAAATATATAACGTTTGAAGAAAGAGCCATGTATCCATATCCATTTAGGCTTTATACCTGCTATCAACCCTCTATCGAATGACGTATGAGCAAACGAAATCGGAAGACTTCACCTAAAAACGTTCCCTCGTGAGCATGTAAATTTTACGCATATAAGCTAAAGCAACACTGTCCTTTACGTTCAACGGAAAGGTTCTGGCCTCTGATCAGTTCACAAAAGGAGAGCGTGTCTCT